CTGCAATCTTGAATGGATATTCAAATAGTCAATGTAGTCCAACAAGGGATGCGATCGCGAAAAAGCAAATACGATGATCTGACGGTGCAACTTCCCAGCAGTTGCACCCAACCACATCTTTTGCAATGCACAGAGCTATCCTCCAACATTCGGAATCATCACAACCAATGTTGTTATTCAAAGGCACTGACTATAATAGTCACCCAACTTCTTGCACACAGAGCCAGCGTCGCAGCACTACACAGCGAAGCAACAAACCATCAGTAATTTATCAAACACTCCATTGCAAAATCCTCAATCAAATCACTCACCGTAGCTCCAGTCCACCCAATGCCCCCACACTGCTGATACTTCGGCGTACAGAATTCCAGCTGCTGAGTGGTAGTAGTAGTCCTAGTCGTCGTCGTAGTCGTAGTGATCCTCGTAGTAGGACCGAAGCAATCAACAATCCCAGTACCGCACCTGGCGGTCATAGTACCATAGGCCAGGGTGGTTTGGACGCAGAATTGGTAGGCTGCAGCTCTGTCTGTGGGACAGGCGGGGGGACGGGTGAGGGTTACGGATGAGGGGCAGTCGCAGAGTCGTGGAGCGTCGGTGGCGGTGATGGTGACGGTGACGGGAGGTGGGGTGATGCTGACGGTTGTTGCTGGGGGTGTGATGGTGGTCGTGGTGCATGTGTCTTGTGTCAGGACGTTGCTGGTCGCGCCCAGGATGAGGGCAAGGGTTGCGGTTCGCGAAAGGTTCGACATGATGGGAACGGGCAGTTGTTCAAGCAGCTGTTGCTCAAAATAAACATGAAAGGTAATTCGAGGCTTCTCGCCGGATGTTCAGAAGATGATTTTTTATCCCCGCAATTTATATCGAAGAAGCGAACACCCCAATCGTCAAGGAAAACAGTGTGAAAGCTCCACAAAACCCTTGCCCACTGTTCTGCAGAAAGGTAGCCAGCAAGGCGTGCGGGGTGTTGGTGACACATGACGAACACAGGAACGAACTCGCCAGTCCATGTGCGCATGGGACTCTGAGGGCTTTGGAAACAAGGATAAGTAAGCAGCCCTGCTAGCTTTCGTTGTGAACGGGAGAAAGGTGGCATATCTGGTGTATCGGCACTGCTCGATAGCATTTATTGCGCGACTATTGGGTGACCCCATGATGAAATTGCTGATAGATGACTGATTCTCTGCGGGGATTGCGCTCTTCGGAGATGGCAGATGGACCTACTCTGATGCGTTCTGCAATCATGCGGTGGGAAGTCACAACTGCAATCTGAACAATGACACTCGTGCTGTAAAGTCTGGTTCGATTCAAGCCATCATTCTTTCTGGAAAATGATTTTCCCAGAATGGCTTAATCTTATCGTCCACTATCTACATAACCTATATATAATCAACCATAAGACTACATACATCCCAACTAACATCTACCCACTCCAACCTCCAAACGCTAAACACTCCCCACCCCTCCCCCCTCCCTGACATACCTCTCCCTAACCTCCCCAAACATCTGCTTACACGGCACCCTAGCCTTCAACTTCGCACACAACAAAAACGCCCCGCTCAATTTCCGATGCAACGAATACGTCTCATCCGGTGGCGGCGTCAACCTCTCTCTTAACATAATCGGAATCTCACTCCTCACTCTTTCTGTAACGTCCTGGGTGCCGAAATGATACAGATTGGGAGATGTGGTGCGGAAGGGTTCAGCGAGAGTTAGGATGGAGTTTACGTGGGCGTTACGCATTGTCTGGGGTATCCAAATTTGAATTAGTGACACCTGGTGCTAAAGGCGCGAGGAGCGGTGAATGCGCTTGTTACCTCACTCTCGAGACCGGTCAAAAAGCCAATCTTCTGAGACCAATAAGCGCACGCCTCGCGGTCTCCAATGGACCCAGCTTGCAAAATGTTCATGTACATGTCAGTGAACTCCCTGCTGAAATCTCGTGCGGCTCCAAAATCGAGAAGGTGGATCTGATTGGAAATCAATAATCAGGATGAGTTCGAAAGTCAAAATGCGAAGTTCGATCTACCTTATCAGTACGAGGATTATATAAAAAGTTCGACCAGTTAGGATCAGTCTGCATAAATCGGTACTCGAACAGTTCCTTCAAGCACAATTCCAATATTCTCGATCCGACCTGATCGCCCACTTCAGCTTGAGCACCACTGGACACGACATCAAACGTCAAACAAACACCCACCGCATCCCTCGTCCGCTGATCCATCTCCGCAACTTTCCCAATCGTCACCCCATCCACCCACTCCGTAGTCAAAACACTGCCCGAACTCAACTCTTCCACAACAGTTGGAACAGCAAAATGTGTATTACCCCTCAACAACCCCTTAAACCTCTTCATCGCCTCCGCCTCCCTCTGATAATCACACTCCGCGCCAAGCTCTTTCCGTGCAACTCGGATGGTATTATCTAGATACATTCCCTTTGGCAAAATCGAGGAGAACAGAACGAGAGTGCGAAGGTTATTGAGATCTGAATCGATAGAGGATGCGACGCCTGGATATTGGACTTTGACTGCTACTGGGAGGCCTGAATGAAGCGTGGCGCGATGTACTTGGCCGATGGAGGCTGCGGCAATAGGCTGGAGATCAAAGGTGTCGAACTTTGAGCGCCAGTCGGAACCGAGCTCGTTTGACAGGACCGTCTGATACGCAGAATGAGATATGAGAACGGATGTTATGCTGCAAGGACATCTTACCTGCAACTGCGAATCGGGCATGTAATTCGCACTGTTTTGCACTCTTAGAAGAATTGCTTCCAGCTCTGGAGGGACAACAGTATTGTCTGAAAGCGCATGGTTCTTTGAGCACATTGAAGTCTGATATACCGCTACAGTCCGACAGGATTTGTACCTTGTATGCTAAGCATCTGTCCCAGCTTCAAAGCTGCTCCACGCATTCGTGATAGTTTGCTGACCATCAGATCTATGTTTTTAGGACTCAAAACGACGCTACCACCTTTATGTAGATCTCCGATCAGGTGATGATCAATTTTCAATTGCACTATCTCGTTTACGGAAACCCACCATCGTTTGAAGATAGACCGGTTGCCCGTTTGAAAGACTCTCCTACGGCACCCAATCCCATTCCAGCCGCTAAAGTACCAAAATGATAGAGTCTAGAAAATCGAGATGCCGGGACTCGCGATTGTTGGGTCGGAAGTTGTCTTGACTAGAACATGATCAGGCAAATTGCCGGGATGCCATAAAATCCCAAGAATCTTACCGTCTCAACAAGCGTGTCAGGCTGGATTTCATCAACAGTGGGGTTAGTGACTGGTTCTGGTGATTGTTCCGCAATGGGTGATGGGTCGGATGGCTGTGCTGTTGAGTGAACTGGGTTTGATTCAAGGGTTGTTGATTTTGGTGTTGATGCTTCGCGTTGTGGTTCCTTGAAGATGAGAGGTTTACATCGCAATCTTCCCGGAGCAGCAGCGTCATCGCTCACATTATACATTGCGACATTTCCAAGATCAACAAACCTGCGGCGTAACGGGTATGTCCTGTGCTTTACAAATCGGTTCTGCCGGCGATACTATATTTTCTTGGGGCGTGGTTGTACTACTACTGTCCACCAATGTATGAGTATGGTGGACAGAAGGTTTTGGAGGCGGTGCCGACTGAACATCAGGGGGAGGTGTCTGCCACTCAGTCGCGGTATAATATGGCGGCTTCGGAGTCTGACCACCTCGAATGTCATTTGAAGTGCCAATAAACAAGAGAGCAGCCGTCAAGGTATCCTTTGCGCTGTCTCGGACGTCGTTGACAGCCCGAGGGATGCTGGAAGTTCGAGCATAGTGTGCTATTTCTCGTCCATGCGTTTCTGCAAAACTACCAACAACTTGGCGCAATGCCAGAGCAACCCCTATGGGAAAGTCAATATGTTTGTATTCTGGTGATGTGTGATCCGTTTTGAGCTACAGTACCAAGAAGGTCGGCGGCTCGTCTATTGGACGACATGATCTAAAGTAGGCTGATTGACGCTATGGAATAATATAACAAAATTTATGCGATGTTGGGATATTGTATGGCACTAACGTCGGCCTGGCCCTGTAAATTGAAGATGTCTAAAACTAGATCGCGTTCGGGGTGGGGGAGAAGGAGGAAGGGAAGATGAAGCGGGAAATTGGTCGTGTTCATGAGTCATCGCCGTGCGATCGTTGGTCTGATCGCTGATTAATCTAATAGGATGGAAAGGCTTGACATGGAAGGGGCCAGCCGGCACCGGCTTGGAAACTTTGAAAGCATTCAATAGTCTCAATAACTCCAATAGGCAAAGGGACAAAGTCAATGGTGGCGGTCCAGAAATTCAATGAATACTCGGAAAGTGGCGATACCGGATATGATTCTGATTACTTACGACCATAATGCCGCATTGAAACCCTCAACACAAAATTGCCTGAGTCATGGCAACTCTGGAACTCTAGAACTCTGGGGCTATCTGACTGAGCTTTGCAGGCGTTCTCGACCTTCTCCTGTATCCCTACGAGTTCGATATGGATCCTGCTTGAACTGGATGTGCCAGGCAGTCAATATATTGTAACTCGTATGTGGGCTGCTTCAGGGAAAAAGTGGAAAAGGAAAGCTGAGCACCATTATCAAGACCAAGTGTCGATTGCAAGTCCGGAATCGAACCAGGGATGCAAGTGAGCTAGTAGCTTGTATACAGAGGGGTTGTTATCGTTCGATACACTGCTATGTCCCATTCAGGTTCTTTCCGATGAGATATCAACTGAATGCAGCACGGCAAGAATTAACCCCTCTGTATGTTGGGCAATGAAAAGTATGAAATGTTGAGTTCCCCAATCAAAAAATTGGAAAGTCATCAAGCCAGTGACATAGACTCCCTTCAAACGGATAGTAATGAACAAAAAAATTCGCAGACGGGCAAGAGGAGTGAAAAATCAGTTCGCGTGGTCCAGCCAGATGTGAAAAACTGATAAAACTCTAACCGCTGCGTTCAAAAAGAAAAACCTTCGCCGCAAAATAGAACCCAACGCGGGACTCGAACCCGCAATCTTCTCCTTAGGAGGGAGACGCCATATCCATTAGGCCAGTCGGGCTTGAAGTAATCTTTCATAAGTATTATATACATATCCACACTACACTTCGGCGAGAACCCCTTGACTGTGACATTTGCGCAGTCGGTGACGATCAAGTGGTTGGATGCATATTGCCTATTTGGACTCCAAGGGTCCTCTCCGTATGCCTAATCCCAATCATCACCTCATTTTACCCTGCTCATCTATGCATTCTGCCGCAAGTAGAGAACTCATTTTCGAAAGCTCAAGGGTACTCTAGTAAAGGCCACCGTTCGTGACAATGCCGTTTTAACTCAGGTGGCACTATGCTCGAAGCTGTGCGACAGTCTACAACAACCCACAAAATTGGTGGAAATCCTCGAAAATCATTTTTCGATTCGAATCACCTCCTCTTCCTGCCATTTATGAAAATCCCTCATGGTAAAGGACAAGCTCTGACGCTCATACTTTGAGAGGACCGACAGCACTGACTGAATCATCCTAACTTTCACTCCTTCAGTCGTCATTCGATAACGACGGTCGCCATTGCTTGTGTACTGTCCACAGACTCCAAAAATGCGACACTTGTCGTTTTGATTTTCTCAAATTCAACCGGGAAGCTGCAACTCACTACCGAACCCTTCTGGACATCCAACCGACCCATCAACCCGCTGGACCATTATCATCTGGACTCTTGTGCAGGAGCGTCGCTTTGGGGTGCCCGATAATGCTATTCTTTTGGGCGAGATCATTGGCCTAAGTCATGAGCAGAATGGGGGGGCGCCCACGGAGCATAATGTGATCTATTGGGAGGGAGAATCTCATTCACAACTGACGACGCATCCCGTCAATCAAGTCCACCTCGATTGGCAGATGGAATTGGACGGCCGGGAGTTTGCACCGCTCCAGGAGGTGCTCGACCTCTATGTTTATCGATATGAGGAGTGGGCATCCCCCCCAGGAGGTACGTTGACTTGAACCATGACCCCTTCGTCGCGAACAGTGTTCATGAATAGACTTTTGACGTGCACCCCCAGCGTTGCTCACTGGAGCGGTTTGGCAGAAACTGGAACTTCCAACTCGCCATCGCCCAGTAACAGAAATCGCATCCATACGAGCCCAAATTCAAGCCATCCCTTCCATCCCTTCCCCACCAATGTCAGCACCGTCAAGAACCCATTACCGAATAACCCTGCCTTTCAACGGTTACGGCCCACTCCGATGCTTTGCGCACAACGACCTTGAATCATGCACAGATTGCGATGTGGATTTCCCAATTCCTAAACAACGGAATCCGTCGACGTTCCTTTTCACAACCCTGCGTCAATCATAACCGAAAACGCTGCCAACCATGTGCCCCCCCCTGTCCCCGCAAACATGCCTAAACTCGCCCTCGCCCGAGATGGCGAAGCATCCCGCAACGACCCAACGGAGGAACCAGAGCCCTTTATTATTCCCGGCTCCCTCCCTCTTGACACCATCGTCCGGCCGCGCATGATCCCCGACATTGACAGGAAGAAGAACAGCAACAAACACAACGGTCGCATCGGCGGGTTAGAATATATAGATGGGGTGCATCATTGTGTGATCAAGTATCATAGTTACGATACTTCGAGCCACAGAGAGGTGGGGATACGTCCTTTTATGGATGTGTATCGCGACTGGGAGGTCAGACAACCCAAGGGTCGACCATTCTGGGTATCTCACCAAGACTTTGTCAACAAATACTGTTGAGGATTGATGAGTTGGAGGATTGCCCCGTTGTAAGCAGTGACGGGAGCAAACTTCAATGCCGGTGTAGCCTTAGGTACATGGCAATTCATGGTTAAAAGGGCAGCCAAAACAGTGTGCTGATTGGACCTCCTGGTTTTGTACGGAGTTGCATCGTGCGTAATGTGAGTGCTCACTGGCTCTGTTTGATGGGATGTCGTGTTTGTGAATGCTGTTCCGTGTAATGGTGTTGGCCTAGACTGAATAAGTGAATTCGGTCAATGTTCATAATTTCTAACAAGCTCCACCCTTGCACTGACTGACTGATGTGGAGGGCGAAGCAAGTGAAGCGATGGTACCGAGCGTCACATGCCCCAACTTGGCGGATATCCTTGTTTTTTGGAGTGCTTGTGGCGAGGTCCCCGGAACTTTTCAGCCTCTTTCTTATAATGGCTTTCATAGGCACGAATTCAAATCATATCAACATACCTTCAGCAGAGAGGCATCCTAATTGGCACATGAAATCACACCATGATGGCGAAGAAAGCTCTGGAGTTTCCTGCTGCTTGGGGTGGAAATTTAGACGCATTTCAAAAAAGCGATGGAACTTCTGCAAAATTGAAAGAGGATTGGAGCCAGCAAGGGTTTCCAGGTTCTTGAATGAGGTATATTCTCGTGTGTTTAGTATTCCCCCTTTGCATCTCAACCCTTGATCCTCCTGTCCTCACACCGCCATTGCCTTGCGTCGTGCCGAGATTTGAAGAAGAGGGCTGAAGTTGGCTCTTGATTCCGTCAGAAGCAAGAACAGTAATCGGCACACATCAAAAACCAACCCTGCGCGTGAACCATGATCTTCTCATGCACCGGGACAAAAAAGATGGATATACGTCTATTCCGTCAAGAAACCAAAATCGTCTCTACCACAATCAAGAGAATATCTACAAAGCAGCAACAGGAGGTTTGGCCTCTCCCTTCTCCCTTCCGCCCATGCTGCGAAAATGGCATTAGAGATTGGAATTAGCATTTGATCGCATGACTACTCAAAAGGATCCGTCATGAGCAGCAGAAGTACGTACTGCCAATACTCAATGAACCGTCCAGCCTGGACCAACTGGCAGGCCTCGTTTGTTGCGTGGCAGGCAAAGAGAAGGTAGTTACGGGGTTGGACCATCCATGCGAAGCGCATGAAGAGGGCGGAGTAGAGGGTGAGGGCTGACAACGAGTTTGTGGAGGGGAGCGCTGGTGTCAGTCTATGGCATTGTAACTTTGACGCCTCAAGTGTGCGGTTACCGGTCGTCATCTTTCCACTAATCATCTCAGGACTCTTCTTCATGTCCGCCATGGCGGCGAGGGGGAGACCCCAGTTTGCAACTGATGGGTTTAAGGAAATATGAGTTGAAGTTACGGTAAACTTCTGGGCGGAACAGAGCGTGACAAACAGGTCGACGTACTTGGTCCCCAGAAGTGCTACATTCGGCGTGCGAGGAAAGGGACAGTAAAGTTGAGATTAGCTAGCGTTCCACGGTTGCCGTTTGGGAAGGTCGGTGGTTCAAGAAAAGGAACTTACAGTGCTAAATAGGTAACGCGGGAGAAACATGGCCGGTCAGCAAAGTAAACAAAAATAACCGGTCACGAACACCGACATCATACCTCATGAGGTAATTTCTAAACTCCTTGCTGGCCACATAGGTGGCGATACGCGAGGTTATCGGCGCCTGCGCGGACATGGTTGCGTGGATATGGGTGGTGAAGAGTAAGGAATGTGTGGATGGGAAATGGAGTTGACGAGTTGAAGGAAGGGAAACGGGAACTGGAGACTGATCCGCGGGATGACGTGGTGTGACATGGAACATCGTCATGGAACAGTTTGGTGGCACGGTATGCTGGTTGCGTAAGCAAAAATTCTATCCCCATCCCCTGAAATCACTTTACCAAATAATAATGCGACGAATCATTCAATCGACATATCGACATGGAAGAATGATGTGTGGTGAGTACCATCATATGGGTTGATCTACCGCTCGAAATCTGCCCAATACACTTGCGGTGGCGTTGAGCAAGTATTGCACTGGATGTATGGATCCGTATAGAGACGTTTCCATCCAAAAAAGCGAGAGACAATGTTTATATCCACCAACTGTGCGGTCTTTGGTCATATGAAGGAATGTTTCATCAATCCAGTTCCCGCCCCTTTTTTGCATGCACGTTGACCAAACGACTCAGTGTGCATGACATTCCTTGCCCGTACTTGATCAGCATCCTCCTCCCCAGTAACCTTGGTGGCCAATTTACTCAATCACAGGATCTGGATGCTGAATACTCTGATTGAATGTCTGCCAGCTCCAAGCATCTCGCAAATGAACCCATACGTTTCCTGCCCTTTTCTTTTCCTACAAAATGAGAGATTCATGACTCTTGTATCAGTACTTGTCTACCACTCGTCAACCTCTGCAAAAAATGACATTTTTCATCGGCCATCGGGAAATGACATGGTCAGGGTGAATCCATGCTGTTTCCACGAACATGACGAGTCTTCTTATCACCATATTCAACTCTGGCCGTCACATGTTGAATCCCAAAGCTTGGGAGATGAGCGGCTTGTGGAATTGTCAAGCCGTCCAGAGATCAAGAGAATCGACCGGAACGAAGATGACAATTGTCAAGCCGTCCAGAGATCAAGAGAATCGACCGGAACGAAGATGACAATGGCATTCCTTCAAGCAACAAGGTATCCCATCATGGGACATACTTCGGTTTCATTTCTTTTTGTGCCCTGTTTGCAAATTTCATTCTGCCATTCCCCAATACCATCAATAACCGGCAAAAAAATTGAGAGTCAGGGGCATTCCAATGACCACGAAATGGCAGGTCCTTATACCGACATGATCTCATAATGTATCCATCCGTCTACCATTTTCGAATGCAAAAACTGAGCTGGATGAGTCCAACGGAAGTTGTGTTGTCAATAAGCTCATTATGCGGCATCTCCTTGATAATTTGTGTCACGATCGCCGAAAAATGGAACGGTCTTGATGCCCACCTATGAATCGGCGGTGTACCGGACGGAACATCGCAAACGGGCGATCAGATAATGAAATTAGCTCTTTGGCATCAGGTTATGAGATAACTCCTCCAAATCAGAACATCGAAAAAATGAATCGTACTCCGCCGAATGTGAGAGCATGATACTGGTGGGGCCGTATCCAACACACCATTTTCGTGACCCCCCGTGACCCGCCATTGAGGAACGCGATGCGCATTTGGACCAGGGCCCCTAGATCCACCATTCCCCAGACCAGATCATGCCAAGTGGCACATTTCCATCCCGTGAC